CTGGGGGGGGGCACAGAAAATTTGTGGGTGGGGCTCGTGCCCCCCCAGGCCCCCCATAGCTACGCCCCTGGTCTGCGCTAGGCTTAAACATTATCGTTTGCAATCTCGCCGGTATCTTGCTCGACGCTGTCGTTTCTCGCGAGGTTATTATTTCGCCCCGGTAAGAACAATGTAATGCAAGCGGCTACCACGCACGCGGCGCTTGCTCGAGGTTTGGACAGCGGTGCGGAAAAACGGTTGTGCCATGCCGGCGGGAGTCTATCTAGTCCAGTGCTTCGTAAACTGGTAAATGGTTTACCAGGGTTTCTTAGACATAAAGAGGCACAGTGGCGCACCGCTGTTGTCAAATTTAACATCGCCATTGTGAAAATGTTCCTGTATTTACTGATAAGTATATCCTGTATCTATATACCTACCAGTATATCAATACATCATGTATTTGAATCCATCATGCGCATTTTTTTCCCAAACTGGCCATTACCTCCTTTGTCTAATTTTCTCTCAGAAGAAACCCTGGTTTACCCAAGGGTGAATGAAATTATTTTGGGGGTGAATGAAACTTACCAGAAACATAAGGAAATTTAGTCGTGGGTGTATGAAATTTTGTGACAAAGACTACGCTGAATGACATTGCGACTGAAATAGTAAAAGAAGCACTGCTCTAGACTGACGCCGCTCCTTTGCATTTTGGCAGATCCACGCGGGCGTCGACGACCTCGGCAAGGGCGGCAACGAGGAGAGCCTGAAGACCGGCAACGCCGGCGCCCGTCTAGGCTGCGGCGTCATCGGCATCGCCAAGTAGGACGCCGCTCGAAGAAAAAGCGGAGAAGCTAACTCGGGGAAAAAAATTACGTGTCGCGATTTCGCACCGATGGAATACGTGAGAGTAGTTTTACCTTTCATGTCCTCGGCAAGCACTTAGTTCCGCGTTTTTCCACCGGGTGGCAGCACCGTATCTGTGAGGGCAGACTTAGATTGTTCGTGCGCGCACGCGTACGCAGAATTTCACGTGTTAGCATCAGCGAATTTTTTGTCACCGGAGGGTGGCACCGTAGCTGCGAGGGGAGACTTAGATAGGGGCAAGGGGATAGGGACTTAGGCAGGGGGTTTAATTTCATGTGTAAGCAAGCAGTTTTTTCCTCGCACGAGTACGGTCGACCAACCGTGGAAAATTAGCATACAGTAGCTTTTAGCTAATTTGGCAAGCTAACCTTTTCGTTTCGATCGATGCGATCAATCTGTTAACCGATCATAGATAACCAATCAATCATGTGCACTGCATCTGTAACTGGATTATTGTGTCTTAATAAAGCGGGTAAAATTATGGCATGCACACAATCGAGTCTGGGTATTTCTATGTGATGTATGTGTTCTATGTGTTGCGTGTCGCTGCCGATACCACATCATTCTTAAAAGGCCGCGGAAGTAGGGTTGGCGTTAGTTTCCCGGTACAAAAATGTGCCATTTTCCAGTTTCCCGTAAAATTTAAAATCGCAATTTTCGGTTTTATCGGTCGGCTCCCACTCCTGAATAATGACAATCTATCTATTTTTTCCTCGGTTACCAGATTATTTAAAAAAGTAGTCCAATCCTGCATCACGAATATAACCGACGATCTTCCTCCCTCTTCTTACTGTCGTCATTTCAGGTCCCATTAATTCAGTAGCCACCAGGAGGCGCTAGTAGTAGCCAACGAAGGTATGAGCCGTAGTATTAAGTAAAGCGAACTGCTTATGTACTAGCATGTAGTAGTACCCGGAAAGTTTTCAATTTTCTAATATTGATTTTTTAACGCATCATCGTTTTTATTTCGTGATTTTCTCTAGTTAACGTGATCGTATTTCGTTTCACACGATTCACGGAAGGTAGCCAGCCTATCTCAAGCCTGCGACGTGAGAGATTGTATCCCCGCGTAACACACCAGACAACATAAGACGCTCATAACTAGAGCAGCAAGCACAATGCGTATATTTGCACCAGAAGACGCTAACAACAGAATTAAGCACACGTGTGTCTATTCGCTAACATCTGCTATTTATATATTTATTTGCTCGAAAAAATTCACCGCGGATCGCGTCGACAATTCCTCGATGAATCGTCCGCACGTCACGATAGATCTCCGGTTCGGAAACCCTCGCGAATTTGACAAGCGAACGGCGACTCGTCCGTCATGCAACACCTCGGCATTTTGCCGTAGGTGGCGCCACCTACCGCGTAAAATAACAATCGAATCGCGACGTCACGCCTTTTAACTTTCATCGAGCCCGCGCGCGCTCACGAACTCGACTCGAAACGTTCTAACTATCGCTACACCATCCACCTCCAGAGTGCGCCGCCGCAGAAGTTGTCGTCGCCGGCACGCTCCGTTGTTTCGGCGGCTGTTACCGGCCCTGCTCGCGCTGCAGTCTCGTCGCGTAGGTCCGGGAGACGAGGTTCCATGCATCCATGTATCGGTCCATGCACATCGCGACGCACTTCTGCAAGACGTAGGGTAGCAACAGGGGGAAAAATTACTCTCTTTTTTTCCACGGGAGCTCTTTTTCAAGTCTGTGGGAAAAATAGCTCTCGTCGCAAATTTTACGGGAGCGATTTTGAGCCTCACGGGAGCGATTTCGGAGGTTTGAAGAGCGAATCGCTCATCGCTCCCGTGTATTTTTTACCCTGGGTAGCAACGAAGCGTTACGAGCGTTGCGATGGGCACGTAGGAGCAAATACGAAGCACTATGAACGACAATTACTTTTTCACTTGACAATTAAGGTACGTGAAACCATAATTGTTTCAAATATATGTAAAATAATAATTATTTAAAATGTATGTGAAACGATAATTATTTCATATATAAGTGAAACAATCAGAGATGTAAGTTTTCCGATTTTTTGACGGAATTCCGATTTTCTGATATTTTCAATAAAGAGTCCGATTCTGTGAGATGGCCTGAAACTGAATCTAAGGACACTGAAAATTCCAAAGTCTATGTCGAGCACCCCTGTCTACGCAAGGACATGCCATGTTCCCTTCAGGGTGCCGTTCGCCCCCCATTCAGTCGCCTACGGTCACTGTTGTCGGAGTGTCTTACTATTTTCCTATTTTTTGGACAAATACCACTTGCATCTTTGAATAATAATTATTTCAAATATATGTGAAACAATAATTATCTCAAATATATGTGAAACAATAATTATCTCAAATATATATGGAAATAATAACCATCTCAAATATATGCGAAATATTATTTTCTGCACACGGTAGGGAATGCGGGATGTATAAAGGACATCTTATTCTTAATTATGTCGGGCTTGCGAGCCGATTCGACTGGAAGCAACTGGCTGCAATTCACTGCGACTGCAGTGCTTAGGTCGGTCGACTGCGACGCGACTGCCTGCGACTGGCCGCCACTAGTTGCTCGGAATAGAACAGTGGGCAACTGGACGCAACTAGTCGCTGCCGATCGCTTCCAGTTGCTCGAAATCCAGTTGCTTCCAGTCGAGTCGGCCCGCAAGCCCGACATAAGCCCCCCTTAATACAGATGAACATAAAAGAAATAAAATATAGCATGTTCAATATAGAATATGGAGAAAACGACATCGGAAATAGGAAGGATACTAAAAGGTACAATTATGAATTTAAGCATGTAGAATACAAGATATATAGCAGAGGGAATATAGGATAAGGAAAATGAAATTGCAATTTTAAAAAAATGAAATGAAATTATTTAAATTAATTAAATTACATATAATGTGAAACTTGCGATATCAACGCAATGTCAGATCGCAGCTAATATTATATGAGAGTAATGGGTAACCCTACAATCAGGCCACAATTTAAAAAAATTGTGTTTGCCCTCAACCGACCCAGGCTGAAAAGTTTGGGTAGGTAGGTATAGGCTATTTTACAAATTCAGCATGGTGTCTACATGCTCGGGTGTGCTTGTGTGGAGATACCTTTTATGTTGAATGTTTGTTTTGCTTGGTACATATAATGTATTGCCTACAGATTTATATAATGTACAGTGATACAAATTGTAAAAAAGAAGAAGAAAAAGATCAATAAATTTTTTTGAGTCGGCTCCTTTTTGGCGGGTCGGTCGGGTGAGGGCAAACAAACAATATTTTTATTATGGCCTCACCTGTTCTGAGTTATCCAAGCTGGCTCCAGGCTTCGTCACGCACTTGTTGAAGCACTTGTCGGACATTTTCTGAAAGCAGACGAGTGATAGGAATCATGAGCGAGAAACTCGTCGAGAGACGAGGGCGCCACACGTCGCTGTCCGCGGCAGATTCGCCAACACGAGCGTTTATTCGATTGGAAACACGCCACGGCGATTGTCAGATTCGTGCAAGTCAGTGTTGTAGTTGAGTCCGGACCCCCCTATTCCCCCCCCCTCCCGAGTCCAAGTCCGAGTCCAAGTCCACACCACCAGAGTCCGATTCCGAGTCCAGTTTTGATTTTTTTTAAAGGGGCACAGACCGACAAGGCCGTTCACTTCTATGTATGTGTTTGGTCAAAAATGTGGGGTACGTGTCTCCTGCCCCCTGGATCTGTCACTTGTTTGTATTAGGTAGGAGTTTTAGTTTTAAATTTTTGAAAACTGCGTGTTTACAATATGTACAGTTATGTACTATGTAGTGGCCTCGACCCAAGTCCTCGAGTCTGGAGGGCTCGAGTCCGAGTCCGAGTCATTACACTCCGAGACCAAGGCTGATGCCGAGACCAAATAAACCAGCCTCCAGACCTACAAAACTAGTGCGAGTTAACGAACAAGATAAGACAAGTAGCTGTCACTCTGCATTTAACTTGAAAACCGATTGGCCCGCTACGGCCGGGCGCCGCTGCCGTGATAAAACATCAATTTCTGCCCATCAGCAGAGAATCCGTTACGCAGTAAGATCATCAGGCTATTTCTGTGAGATGGCCTGAAACTGAATCTAAGGACACTGAAAATTCCAAAGTCTATGTCGAGCACCCCTGTCTACGCAAGGACATGCCATGTTCCCTTCAGGGTGCCATTCGCTCCCCATTCAGTGGCCTACGGTCACTGTTGTCGGAGTGTCTTACTATTTTCCAATTTTTTGGACAAATACCACTTACATCTCTGAATAATAATTATTTCAAATATATGTGAAACAATAATTATCTCAAATATAGGTGAAATAATAATTATCTCAAATATATATGCGAAATAATATTTTCTGCACACGGTAGGGAATGTGGGATGTATAAAGGGCATCTTATTCTTAATTATGTCGGGCTTGCTGATTTGACTGGAAGCAACTGGCTGCAATTCACTGCGACTGCAGTGCTTAGGTCGGTCGACTGCGACGCAACTGCCTGCGACTGGCCGCCACTAGTTGCTCGGAATAGAACAGTGGGCAACTGGATGCAACTAGTTGCTGCCAATCGCTTCCAGTTGCTCGAAATCCAGTTGCTTCCAGTCGAGTCGGCTCGCAAGCCCGACATAAGCCTCCCTTAATACAGATGAACATAAAAGAAATAAAATATAGCATGTTCAATATAGAATATGGAGAAAACGACATCGGAAATAGGAAGGATACTAAAAGGTACAATTATGAATTTAAGCATGTAGAATACAAGATATATAGCAGAGGGAATATAGGATAAGGAAAATGAAATTGCAATTTTAAAAAAATGAAATGAAATTATTTAAATTAATTAAATTACATATAATGTGAAACTTGCGATATCAACGCAATGTCAGATCGCAGCTAATATTATATGAGAGTAATGGGTAACCCTACAATCAGGCCACAATTTAAAAAAATTGTGTTTGCCCTCAACCGACCCAGGCTGAAAAGTTTGGGTAGGTAGGTATAGGCTATTTTACAAATTCAGCATGGTGTCTACCTGCTCGGGTGTGGTTGTGTGGAGATACCTTTTATGTTGAATGTTTGTTTTGCTTGGTACATATAATGTATTGCCTACAGATTTATATAATGTACAGTGATACAAATTGTAAAAAAGAAGAAGAAAAAGATCAATACATTTTTTTGAGTCGGCTCCTTTTTGGCGGGTCGGTCGGGTGAGGGCAAACAAACAATATTTTTATTATGGCCTCACCTGCTCTGAGTTATCCAAGCTGGCTCCAGGCTTCGTTACGCACTTGTTGAAGCACTTGTCGGACATTTTCTGAAAGCAGACGAGTGATAGGAATCATGAGCAAGAAACTCGTCGAGAGACGAGGGCGCCACACGTCGCTGTCCGCGGCAGATTCGCCAACACGAGCGTTTATTTGATTGGAAACACACCGATGGCGATTGTCAGATTCGTGCAAGTCAGTGTTGTAGTCGAGTCCGGACCCCCCTATTCCCCCCCCCTCCCTAGTCCAAGTCCGAGTCCAAGTCCACACCACCAGAGTCCGAGTCCGAGTCCAGTTTTGATTTTTAAAAAAGGGGGCACAGACCGACAAGGCCGTTCACTTCTATGTATGTGTTTGGTCAAAAATGTGGGGTACGTGTCTCCTGCCCCCTGGATCTGTCACTTGTTTGTATTAGGTAGGAGTTTTAGTTTTAAATTCTTGAAAACTGCGCGTTTACAATATGTACAGTTATGTACTATGTAGCGGCCTCGACCCGAGTCCTCGAGTCTGGAGGGCTCGAGTCCGAGTCCAAGTCATTACACTCCGAGACCAAGGCTGATGCCGAGACCAAATAAACCAGCCTCCAGGCCTACAAAACTGGTGCGAGTTAACGAACAAGATAAGACAGGTAGCTGTCGCTCCACATTTAACTTGAAAACCGATTGGCCCGCTACGGCCGGGCGCCGCTGCCGTGATAGAACATCAATTTCTGTCCATCAGCAGAGAATCCGTTACGCAGTAAGATCATCAGGCTACATCGGTCTCCGAAAATACCTACATCAGATAGGAGTTAGTGATGATCCACTATGTGACATGTGTCGTGTCGCCGAGACTGTACCTCGATCACTATACCTACTAGAATGTGGTAAGTTCGAGGAGGAACGTGGACTCCTTCAGCATAAGATTTTCAAAGAGTGTGTGGTAGGAAATCTTAAGTGAGGATATTTTATTGTGTGTGGACCCGTAGATCCACTCCTCGTCTGAATCTGTCTGCTCCCTGTCCACTCCATGGACGGATCGTGTGTCATTTCTTCGCTTCTGTAGGCATTTCCTAGCGAAATGGGTTTTTTTTCCACACTGGCTGCATACTTTCCCCCACGCCGGGCACTCTTCCTTTTTAAACGCATGCTTTCGCCCACAAAACTTACACGACTTCTCCGCCTCTTGTCTATTCCTCCCCTTTTCCTCTGTGCTACTCCGGGAGCCTCCCCTGCGCATCGATACTCTGCTTACTGTCTCCTGCCGTAGAGCATGACATTGCCTCGTGGCATTCTCTGCGGCTCTACAAATATCGACGCTGTGCTCCAGCGTCAGCTCGCGCTCCTTCAGCAAAACTTGCTGGGTCGCTGTGTCTCGTACACCCAACACAATTCTGTCTCTGAGAATTGACGTCACGCAGTTCTCGCAGTAGTTGCACGTACGAACTAGAAACCTTGTTGCCGTTAGGAAGTTCTCAAAGCTCTCACCTTCTTCTTGATTCCTCCGGTTAAACACGTATCTCTCGTAGGTTTCATTTGTTTCACCCACTGCAAACTCCTCGAACTTATCGATAATCTCCTGCACCGTTCTCTCCGACTCCTCCGTCGAGAAATGGAACCCATTGTATACCTTGAGCGCCACTTCTCCGAGGGTGTGCAGGAACAGAGCTACCTGGTATTCACTGGTCTGCTGCTCCAGGTTCGTGATTATCGAATAGTTCTTCCACTGCTGTCTGAAGGTTTTCCATCTCTCAACTATATTTCCCTCCACAGACGACGGAAGCGGAGCGCGTATACCTTGCACTGGTCTGTGAGCCATGCTAGCTCACTTAACAGCTGCGTTGTGGTTCGATAACCGCTGCCACCATGTTACGTGTTACTGTACACACAAAGAAAAGGCTGAACACGAGCTTGAGCTTGTAGTGCCAGGTGGCTGTACTGAGAAAGTAAGAGAGCGCACACGGCACCTGTTGGTGGTATATATACCATATGCCCAGTGACCATAGCTCCACCTGTGGGCCGACATAGTTCAAATCTACCATCACGCAACAGACCCTGAGGATAGAGTGAAACTAAAACGAAAAGAGCATAGAACTGAGATCA